TATGAGAAATGCAATAACACAAAAGCAATAATATGATAACTAACCATAAAAACCCATTTTTTTATTTTATCCCATTAATAGATATGTTATACAATGTTAAACAATTGTAATATTAATGTTCGTAAACAAAGTTATGCTTACAGTTAATGTGTTACGTGTGTTTATTTTCTCTAAAGTGTTGACTAATGATCAATAAAGTAAACTTCAAATAATGAAAGCTTACTAAATTAAAACCATATTTCAACTCAAATAACCACACATGGTAGAATCTCAAGGTAAAGCTAAAAAAAAAAAAAAAGCATATAAAAGACAATGTATATAATGCTCTTAATTAAAATATCAAAGATACAGTACATAACGGTACCAGTTTTGATTAACAATTGACAGGTAAAACTAAAGATAATTAGAGAAAAAAAGAATACAATAAAAATTAGACATGTTTAAATTTATAAAGATAATAAAATCTCATGAAAAATAAAATAACAACTAAAATAAAATAAATAATCTTTTTAAATAAATAAAACAATAAAAAATAAAATAATTATATTTTTTAATTTAATAATTATACAAACTTTCTATTTGAAGAAGATCTTAAAAATACTGAATAAAGATTTGTATATACAGTGTATATACAAACCTTTATTCAGTATCTAATTTACAATGTAAAAAACACATAAATTCTTCCCTAACATCATAGGAATTGTCTATAAATCTAATTACTAAAGACAATTATTCCAGTCAGAAGCTTCATCAGCAATAAGTGAAAAAAATTGATTTTCTTTTATTTCAGAAATAAAAATATTTTGGATGTACTTTCCACAACAACTTATTAATTCATTCTGTGAGGAATTAGAAATATAAGATGCATTCTTTGCACAGCTGTTAAGATAATGTTCAAGAATTTTAAAAGTTCAATAAAATTACCTACTCCACCCACTAAAGAATACTTGCCAATGACCATCACAATGACCACTGAAAGCTATATTAAGTTGACCTAAGAAAATGATTTTCTCACAAAACAACTTCTTACAATTTAAAGCAATCTCCTTTTCATATTCTTTATTAAAATATCTATATTTTAAATATTTCCATTCATAGTATTTAAAACTGCAGAAAATATGGTCCAGGCATTATAATGTAGAATTTGTACTGCGTGATAATGTTCATAAATATTTCAGCTGAGTGATATTCATAATTATTCCCGTTTTTCCCATGGTAATGTCTATTAAAAGTGTTCACAGCATCTGGCCTATATTTGAATGACTGAGAATACAAATTTTTAAATCTAGAAGCTTTTGAAGAGTATTTATATCTAAACAAAACACAACACAAACAAAATGCTCCATCTTCAGAAGGTGAATATCTAAGCCATGAAAATTGTTTTAATGATAAAAGTTTTTAAAGATTGCCCATTTGTTTTTGGAAAAGAAGTTTCATCAGGAACAAAAACATTTTGAATCAAATTTTATATTTGTAAATCTTTCAAAGTAGAAGCCTTTGAACGAAACAACAAATTGTTAATTTGTTGTTTCAATATCTGATGATGAACATAGAATACATGATTCAATATTAAGATTAAACATAAATTTATATTTTAGGAGAGAACTGTTCTATAGTAACACTAAACTCTTGTAGAACACACAATTGAAAGAGCAAGAACACAAAGAAACACAGACCATAAATTCTATACACATATGAAATGTTTCTTCCTTAACAAGGTCATTTTTAATTTTCCTGAGTCTATAAAATGTGTGGATACAGACACTGCTAACAAATTATCAATCGATGAAAACTCATTTGGATACATTGAGCACAAGCTTACAAACAATAGATGATTACTGTAAAAAGAGGCATTTAAATATAAATCAATTGCTGTCAGTATTTTTAAATCCATTGCCAGACTATTATCACCACACAGATAAATCCAAAATGAGCTAAATAAGCAATTGTCAGTTGATTCAGCTGAATCAGATCTGATCAGATCTGTAACAGAGCTGTAACTGATCAGAGCTGTAACTGATCACTGTAACTGATCACTGTAACTGATCAGAGCTGAAACAGATCTGATCAGATCTGTAAAAAGGGCAATTAAAAATTTTTAGAGTAAAAAAAATTCTACAATAAGCTCAATGGAAAATAAAATTGGATTTAATCATTTATTTACAATAAATCAGTTTGGTAAAAAGTTGAACCAATTAGATCAAGGCAAAAAATGTATTTCATAATATTATTACTATATAAATTTACATCCCCAAATGAACAAACGCAGGGATAATATCAACAACTGATAAAAATCTGACTTATGAAGGAGATAAATCTTTACTGACAATTCTGAATAAAGAGTTTGTAAATTTTCAATAAATCCATTTTCAAGCAAATACCTTACAGATTGTAAATGCATGCCATATCAAAAATTATTTAAAAGTTATTTAAAACATTCAAAGAATTATAGTTAGAAAAGGCTTCTTTTAAATTAGTCAGGGGGTAATCATCATATATT